CATAAAGTTCCTTTATATGCTTATTTACATGACTACAAGTAAACAAAGCTGGCCTGCTGTCAGTAATGTGGGGTGTAAGATTTCCTAGTATATAAAGAGACTGCACAGAGTCTTTAAGAAGAATGGGGGGATATTCTGCCCAGCCAACCCAGAGGACTTAAATCCTTTTGAATTAGGCTACCATTTGATATTACTTTAAGAGTTAACAGGTTTTAAAATACAAGACATCAGACTATCAGTTGGGCTCAGCTCCACATTTCTAAACATGTGCAGATAAAGCTGATTATGCTGGGTATAGGATGTACATAGAGGGAAAAACTGTGGCAAACGAGATTGGGCAAAGACACTGAGAATTATACAGTGATAGTCTCAGAGGCATATAAAATTTGCAAAAATGAAATTAACTACTCACAACTGCTGCACATTTGTGAAAAGAATAGGTTAGAAACCAAAGCTGTAACAAGTCTCTAATAGGTGGTTCAAACCTAACACCAATTGACTTGCAGCATATAAGGGAGGAAGGTGTTTGTGTACACTGACAGCTTGTTCATGTAGTGCAAAACCACAGTCTGAAGCAGCCCACCAGACAGACGAAAAGTCACCATGCAATTAACAATAATCCTAAAACATACCTTCGGTGCCTTACAGTATGCCCCTGGAAGAGCACTGAGCTCAGGAAATAAGAACTTCCTGGTGGTCCCCAGCCTGAGAGAGATCTGGCTGTCCTCAACCAGGGCCAGGGTTTATTAGCCCTGGCCCCCACTTGGTGGAACTCTCTGCCCAAAGACATCCCTGCGCTCTGGGAGCTATTGCCTTTCTGCAGGGCATGTAAGGCAGAGATCTTCCGCCAGGCATTTGGCTGACGACAGCTACGGGGAGGACAGTATGACACCTGGCACTCTCATATATTCCCCCATCCCTCACAACCTCTCCCCCCCCAGGAGGCTAGGGGAGCTGATTTTTCTGCCACCTGGTATATATATTCTGTTTCTATTTATTGATGTTTTAAATGGTTTTAATGTTGTTTTAAACCAAGAATTTTGTTATTGCTCTGTTGTAAGCCGCCCTGAGCCCTATCTGTAGGGAAGGGCAGCCTAGCAAATCTAATTTAATTAATAAATAAAATACAGTGACCTAACACGTGCAAACAAAAATATTAGAAGAATAAAGTAAGGAAAAACAAGAATTAAAGTACCTTACGCATACAAAAGGTTTTGGGGAATATGGAAAAGGAAAGAGGCTTTCTAACGCATATGCAAGTATCAATGTTAACATAATGGGGAGGGATACCCTAAAACGTGTTACAGATTTTAATGTGTAGCTGTTTGTGGAGTCTGACACAGTTTGATTATGAAAATGTTTATAGATGCTATTTTTAATTCCTTTTAAATTTTAATCTGCTGCTGAACTTTTTATCTCTTCCATATTTATGCTTAGAGCATTTTAAATAGCTACCGTATTCATTTATCTGATCTGATGTTTTTCTGATGTAATTTTTATATTTTGTATCGATTTTCTGTAATCTTGAATTCAAAAATAAGGCTATGAGTGTTGTAATAAACAGAGGTGATAGTGTTCTGATGAAGCACAAACAGCAGTGCCGAGTCTCAGAAAAGCACATGTTGCTTATCAGGCAGAAGTCAGCAGGTTTGATCTTCAGCATTTCCAAGCAGAAAGAGCTCTTTAGGAGCTGTGTTTGGCTTTGCAGGTTTAATCCCTCACATAAATGTGGTTCTATGCAGATGTGGCTGCAGAATAGGGGGAAAAATAAAAAAAAGACTGAAGAATACAAACCCTTAGTAAGAACAGGAATGAATGGGAGGAATATGCACTGGTCAGCATTTTCTGTTCATGTCATGATAGAGGAGAGGGTCGAAACCAACAAAAACACCACAGGAGTATTTGATAAGCCAAACAACAATTACACGTCATACACATTTCATGAAGCTCAAATGCAATTTGAATGGTCATGATGCACAAACACCCACACAGGCAAATTTTATGCACATTTACTTGGAAGCAAATCTACCTGTGTTCAGTGAGACTTGAAAGCAAGTATGTATAAAACTGAAACCTTAAAAACCTACTCTTTCCAGTTTTTGAAGAAGTTTCTGAATGCAAATACTGTTGAATTTAAGACCTTAGAATTCAACAACACTTGGCCCATATAGTTCTGTATGTAAAATTATAAAAACATTGAAGTGAACAATAAAAACAGAATGCTACATTTCAATATATTTGAAAGAAACAAATTTGATAATATACACATTTTAAAAATAGGTTCTGTATATACTTTAGAAAAAATATCTTTTAAAAAGATTAATGTAAAATTAAAATGACAACAAATACCCAGTGGAGAACTTTAAAAATAATAATAAAGGAAGTAGTGCAAATACAAAAAAGAAAGAAAAAAGAACTAACTGAAGTCTCTGAACATGAAACAACATTTTAAGACATCTTATGTAACATAATTCAAACAAGGAAGTACAGAATCCAAAATTTAAAGCAGAGAGCTCAAACTACAAAATTCTTGGTACATTGCAGCTGTAGTGCTATACTCAAAAGTACATTCAAAAAAAGACTTGGGGGGGGGGGGAAATTATACATTTTTCAGTAAAAAGCCCAAATGGATGAAAAGTAACGTTAAAGAGAATGAGGAAGAAATGAAGCCAAGAGGCTAGCACAAACAAAAGCAAACAGGAACATTACTTATACCTTTACTATCTCAATTAAAGAAAACATGATTACATGAGAAGAACTGCTATTTCATATACATCAGCATCATTTAAAACTTCTTAGAAGTTCAACAGGCAGCATTTGAATTGACTCTAGAACTTAGGTATTACTAAAAAGGTGAAAGAAAAACTTTAATGATGAAATAACAAGCATCAAGAGCAAACAAAAGAGACAGAACGAATGCCAATACAATCAACATGTTTTAAATTTGAAAATACACAGAACAACCAAAGTTTTCTTCACTTTGATTATGTTGTACAAAAGTATTAAGAGCCACAAGATTGCTGATTTTTGCTTACTAACAGGCAAAAAAAACCTGAGAAAAAAGCAGGTTCAAGATAAACAACCTGAAATATTTTTTCATCTGTCGGTCACAGTGCTGCACATGATCTAAGACACATCTCTTCTTTACAAAACTATCCCCTAGCAAAATGTTAAGGAAGATATGCCTCCCCTCACCCTCCTCCTCCTCCCTGGTGGTTTCCAGAACCCAATAAAAGGAGGGCGGGATATAAATCCAAATAAATAAATAAGGCCACAGAGGGCTGCATCGGTGTGCCTAACAGTATAATACTAGCAGAGGTATTGCAATCTAAACCCATCAAAATCAATGGACTTGGACTAGAATAACTACACACAACTGTACCAAAGCTGCCGAATCTCCATTCCCATCTGCCAAGACAGACCTTGGGAGGGCAAAGTTTCCCAAACTCTCCACAGGGGCATCAACTAGAGTGGAGATGATCATTCCCCAAAAAAGAAATCTTGTACACCTTGCAAGGTGGTTTGAGGATTAAGTGCAGGGGGGACCAATGTGAAAAGCCACTTTAGGTCTGCAACCAGGGAGAAAAAAACAAAAGAAGAAAGAATGTAACTTCAGAATTTCTCAGTGTACAAAGAAAAGTCACAAGCTATCCAACAGAATGGGTCAGGCACTGTGTGAAGCATGATGCTGGACTAGATGGACCACTGATCTGACCTAGCAGGGAGCTGTTTATGTACACTGTATACATGGCCCCTATAATGTGTGTACAGGGCTCACATACATCAACTGAAACTTGCACACAGAACTATACAAGTTTACTAAGAAGCAAGTTCTGCAAAGCTCATTCCCCAGTAAAATTGTACCTTAAAGGGATCACAGCATCATTACAATGTGGAGTAGTAGTTAAGAGTGTCAGACTTGGATCTGGGAGAACCAGGTTCAAATCTCCACTCTGCCATGGAAACTCACCAGGTGACTTCGGGTCAGTCACACACACGCAGCCTGACCTACCTTACAGAGTTGTTGCAAGGATAATATGGAGAACAAGAGAATCACTGCTTTGGATCCATATAAAGGCAGTACAGGAGTCTCAATACTTTGTTATAAAAGGACAAATATTGTAGTCCGTTCCAAGGTCTATTATATGTTCCACCCAACTCTTACAGCATTGCCTTGCATCTTTGTAATTCCATTATGTTCGCTGTTTGATATATCACATCTAATATGTTCTTATTGCATTGTTTTCTAACTTTTGCAATCCGAGCCCCATTGGATTGTTGTATATCTTAGTTTTATACAATCTGATCTGCCTTAAGTTTCAGAGAAAACTATAAATTAAGAGACCTGGAATGTAAGATAACCTTCTCTTAAGAAACGTTATACACCAAGAAATGTTCTTCACTGCATGTGACTGTAACTCGCATGCATAGGTAAGACAACATTCCCTCCTTTTTTTGATGGCATACCTGGAAAAACTCCTAGTAAATACTGTTTTCTGTTACACACACTTGGCCTGACAAGTAAGAGACTACCCAGCCTTCTGATAGGCCATTTAGGGGAGCTGCTATCCCAAAACACATTTACATGATAATAAGACCTATCGGATTCAGCGGGTTTTGAGCAAATGCGATTATCAGCCTCCAGGTAGGTCCTGGATATCTCTTGTCTACAAAGATCAGTTCCCATGAGAAAATGGCAGCTTTGGAGAATGGATCTTACGACATCCCACTGAAGTCCCTCCCCAGGGCCCACCCCCAAATCTCCAAGGACTTCCCAACCCGGAGGTAGCAACCCTGCGAGTAAACATACCCTGAGTCAGAGCGAAAGTGAGAGATACCCAGCTCTCCCTCACCCCCCACACCCAGCCGCCCGTCCCTCCTTCCCCACCCGCCATCAGAGGCGCCTTCGTTCCGCTCTCCCCTCCCCTCCTGCGGGCCTCTGGGGTGGGACGGGGGGGGACCGAGCGTGGCCCCCTTCCACCCACGAGCCCCTCCCTCACCTTTGGCCAGCGCCACGGTGGAATTCTCGGTGTCGATGGTGTAGAGGATGCCCTCATAGCGGATCTCGGCCTTGGAGATGAGGCTGATCTTGCTGCCGATGTAAGGCGTCCCCCCGCTCATGGCGCCGGCGGGAGGAAGCCCAACGCGCGCGCGCCGAGAGGCCTCCTCGCGGTCCGAGCACGGTTCCGGCGCCGTCTCCTCTTCGCCTCCCCCGGCTTCACCACGGCGGGCGAGACAGGACAAGCGACGCGCTTCGTCTTCACACCGAGGCCCTTCCTCAAAGCTGTCCCGACGCTCCCAACATGGCCGCCATCACCCACTCCGCTCGCCTCCTCTTCCTCGGCCACGAAATGGATGCCGGGAACAGCGTGGCCCAAATGTCGCGAGAGGAGAGAAAGGCGCGTGGGGAGACCGCGAGGGGGAAGAGGATTGGTTGGTCCTCAACTGTTGTCCACACACAAGACAGGTGGTTCACCTCAGAGAAAACCTAACGCTTCACAATAGCAAGAACTCCAGTAAAACATCAGATTAATAATAATAATAATAAAAAAACACCATCGCAGCCACCATCATACCCCTAAAATTAGTTGTGGTCTGTAAATAATGCACTTTCAGTGCACTTTCCAACTGGTTTTTACTGTGTGGATTGGCAAAATCCAGTTGTAAAATGTATTATTTAGTATGTGGCTGATTCTGCACTGGCTTTTCCCTCCCTTGTTCCAAAACCATGCTGGAACAGAAAAAGTGCAACTCAAAACCACATTCAGATACCCTGGGATAGCACCTCTGAATGGTAGGGTTGCCAGCCTCCAGGTGGGGCCTGGGGATCTCCTGCTTAACTGATCTCCAGCTGACAGAGATCAGCTCCCCTGGAAAAAATGGCTGCTTTGGAGGGTGGACTCTGTGGCACTGTACCATGCTGAGGCCCCTCCCCTTCCCAAACCCCACCCAAAGTCTCCAGGTATTTTCCAACACAGATCTGGCAACCCTACTGAATGGTCATAAATCTATGCAGAAGGTACCATAAAACCCGATGATCAAAGAAAGCGAAAGTGGCATGCAGTGTGGGGGGTACCATAAAATCCGGTGATCAAAGAAAGTGACAGCAGCATGCAATGCAGAGGGGAATTTCTGTTCCAACATGAGTTTAGTATAACGATGGAGGTATATGCAGAATCGCCCTGTGTGACCGCAGTCCAAATCGAAAACCATGGCCCTTTCCACACTCTCCTCTTAATTTGGATTCACTGCGGTCTCCTCCAAGCAATTTTGCACTAAAATAAAATTCAACTGTTATGTATTAGGACTGGAACATTCCAGGACTATCTACCAGAAACTGGCTGAGCTTGGAGCTCTAGAACAATAGCCCACCAGGACTCTGGTAGTGACCAATGAGAAACTAATGTTATTGTTGGAATTGGGGTGTGTTTGGGTGTGGTTTTTGCATGCTATTTAAACAGGGCAGTTGCCCTGATTTTTCAGTCTTGTATCTGCTGAATCACTTAATAAAGTAGAGCTGTCCACTGCAATGCATCTTGAACCCAATATTTTACACAACCATTTTAATTTGTCCCCCCCCCAAGTTCTGCACGAAAACCGAATTCAATCTTCTTTTTATTCCAATTTTTCCCCTGTTCTGCATTATGCTACCTCCCTTCAGTGGCTGGCCTGGTTTCAGCCCGCTGTTGCCCTAACTGTTTTGGATGCTATTTGGCCACGGACTTAAATCGCCTCGACTCGAACACTGAGAAAATCTGGAGTGGCAGGCAAATGCAGAAAGGACCAATGACACACTTCCTTTCGGCTTTATAGTTTAAGGAGTATGTTGTGGCAGCAAGATTAAACAGCAGCCAGCAATTAATAAAAAGAGTCCTCCTCCAACAGGTCAATACAATTTTCTACAAGCATTTCTGGATAAGAACATCTGGACCAGAAAATGAAAAATAGGAACAGGCCAAATAGATTTCTAAACAATACAACAATAATTATTTTTAAAATAGCCTACTGCTTGCAAACAGTGCCACCACTGATGTGATGATGTCATTTCCTGGTCATGCTAGAAGTAACGTCACCCACAATAGTGTGGTCCTCCATTACTCCAGTGAGTCTCCTGCCCGTTGGTGTTCTGAGGCTGGCAACCCTACATTAATCAACTCCAGTCTGGAAAATTCCTGGAGATTTAGTGAGCAGAGCATGGGGAGGAAGCTCAGAGAGGATGTGTAGGGTGGTCTGCCCTTCAAAGCTTCCATTTCCTGCAGGGGAATTAATCATTGTAGTCTGGAGATCAGCTGAAATGCCCAGGAAAACTTCAGGCCTTCCTTGAAGCTCATAACCCTACTGCCAGTCCAATGCATTCTAGAGTCACACATATTTTCCTCACCCCTCCCTGGAAGAAAAAACTCTCTACTCAACTGGCAGTTGCTCAGGGATGGCAAAAGTCAAAGGAACAACACGTTAGTTTCAGCTACATGCCAGACAGGGGTTGTTTGGGGCTGGAGCGCACTGGAGCACCCAGAAACAGGCACAAATGGCAGTGGTGGCGAGCCCCGCCCCTGCGCTCCTTCTTTCTAGCGTTGCGCCACTGCTGCCGGTATGGCCCCATAGAATACAATGGAAAGATTGTGCCGCTTATATTCTATCGCCCCATAGAATATAATGGAAAGATTGTGCCGCTGCTGCGGCATGACTCCATAGAGACTTCTCTCTTCACTTCCCCCCCCACCCCGCCTTGGCAGGCTGGCTTGGGAAGCAAAGGGGGGGGCCATCTTCAGGCCGGCTGGGGAAGGGAAGGGGAGGCTTTTGAAAATGCAGCCCCCCCTTTTGCTTCCCCTTCTGACATCACTTCCGGCATATGCTAATGAGCTCCTGCGGCTCTTTTTCTACGAAATGACCCCTGCTACCAGAGGTCTGCTGAATATGATTTTATTTTTTAAAATGTACTTAATCGGTATATTGTAAAACTCCTTGGGAATAATATGCTTTAAATCTTTTTTTTAAAAAAGTAAAGAAGAGGGTAATTTGCTGATGTCAGCCCAGTATGGATTATCAAGGCAGGCCTCCTGCAGCTGTATTCCTTCTGCAGGGAAAGCCCATGTACTTTTGGAACAGGAGGTAAATCACTGGATTTGGTTTGCAGGAGTGGTGGGGACCAGTGTTCCCTCTAAGCTGAGTTAGTGTGAGCTAGCTCACAGTTTTTTAGCCTTCGGCTCACACATTTTTGTCTTAGCTCAGGAAGGATGGCTCCAGAGCAAACTAATTTATGTACTACCCAGATCTCTCACTCACAACTTTAATGTCAGTAGCTCACAAAGTAGAATTTCTGCTCACAAGACTCCACAGCGTAGAGGGAGCATTGGTGGGGACCATCCTGAAAGTCCTATGTAGGTGAAAAGGGAAAAGATATACATGTTTTAAACAAAGAAACATACCACATCTTTCCTAAAATTCAAATTTACTTGAGTCAATTTGGGAATTTCTTCTACTTCTCCGGGATACAGGACTAAGGAATGAACTAGATAAATTGTGGAGTGCTAGAGAGGGTTGTCTGTAGAAGCCCGTAAGCATTTTGACAAGGAATGGTAAAGTTCATTTCTGAGGCAATGGGGTATGAAGGGCCATATCCATGGCAGCACACAATGAACTTCAGCTGCTCCTGCTCCACCCAGATGGAGGTTTCTATTATCACATGAGCTGTGGTCACACACATTAAGTAATCCACTTTCAGTGCACTTTCCAACTGGATTTTACAGTGTCAGCTTGCAAAATCCAGTTGGAAAGTGCATTGTAAGTAGACTGTTTAGTGTGTGTGACCGCAGCCATGGTTATCAAGTGCTGAGTAGCGCTATATCAGCCAGGTGTTAGGAAGCAAGTCTGTACTGGAAACTCTTATGAGTCCCATTAAGGCTACAGCTTTTTGGTACCCAGTGCAGAAAGCATGTGAACATCTGTGGTGTTGCTGAGTGAGAATCCTGCTGTAGAAAAGATACTCGGGCTCTGGCTGAGGCCCTTTGTGACCGTTGTCAGCAGAAAAATTAAAACTTGGGGTTCCTTTGTCTGCATTTATGAATAATAGAGTCATATTAGTGGCTACTTTTAATGGCTTTGGCTTGTTTTTAGTGGCTAGTTTTAATTGGTTTTTTTGTTTTTAATGGTTGTGTTTAATGGCTTTGTTTTATTGCTTTAACTGTAAACTGTCTCAAGCAGTTCTCTGGAAAGGCAACATATACATTTTTAAATACATAAAATAATCATATGGGACTTCCGGTCAATGGCGACACGCTAGTAGACGCCTTTCCCGGACCTCTGGGAGGCAATCTGCACGCCAGCGGTAAGGAGGGGTGCGATTGTCCGTCACCCCCCTGGAGCCTGTGTGAAATGCTCCTTGCCATGGGGCTTTGGAAGGGTGGCCTCTTTGCCAGCGTGATGCTGGTGAATTGAGGTGCTCTCCTGCCCCGACGGTCCTGCCACTGCTGCGTTCGCATGGAAACAGAGCTGCCGGCCGGGACAAGCGTTGGAGATCAGGTGATTTAAACGTGATCAGGCAAGGTCTATGGACCAACAATGAACTGTAAGTCAAGTGAAATCGAAATGCCGAAAATCTAAAAGAAAGCCCCCTGGGAATGGTGAGAATGTCCGAACCCACAGCCAACAACGTAGTACACGCTTTCATGAAAGGTAATACTTTATTGAAGAGCTATAGATGCATTAACATAGGCACTGTTAAGAATGACGGCTGCCCATGGGGCATAATAGGATATAGGGTATTCATATTCACACCCCCCCCCACTGCCCTGGCCAATGAGCCATTCTCCCACGTGTGGGAGAAAGAGCTTTGGCCATCTAGTGCTGAAGCTGGGAACGAAACACTCACGGTTCCCAAGAAAACCAGACATCAACACCCCCACCTGCAATACTTAGAGATAAGCCTTGTAGCAGCAAAGAAGCACCGAAGGAATGCAAAGGCAATTAGAAGACAAACTCAACCTCCCCACCCCCATGACAGCATAGCTGACATACTGCCCCCTCGAAAATCTGCTTCACACCATTCATACAGGAGGTATCCCGGGCATTCCGGGAGGTCTCTCGGTTATTCTGGGAGATCTCCCGGTTTGTCCGGGAAAGCATGATGAAACTTCATATCGGTTTTGATGGATGCCAAGGACTGGAACCAGAATCCCTTTTCAGGAGGCTGAAATGAAACACAGAATGTAATTTTCTCAAGTTCTTGGGTAAATCCAGTTCTACTGCCACCTCATTGATTACCCTTTTCACCGGAAACGGCCCGATGTACTTCCAACCCAGTTTTCAACTAGGGCATAAAAGCGG